TGAATGAGCCTTGTTTTTGAATTTTCATGCTTGTATGTGATCAATGTATCATCTTGATACTGAAAAGAATTAGTTTAAAAATATACAGTACAGGCCAAAAGTTTGGACACACCTTCTCATTCAATGCGTTTTCTTTATTTTCATGACTATTTACATTGTAGATTCTCACTGAAGGCATCAGAACTATGAATGAACACATGTGGAGTTATGTACTTAACAAAAAAAGGTGAAATAACTGAAAACATGTTTTATATTCTAGTTTCTTCAAAATAGCCACCCTTTGCTCTGATTACTGCTTTGCACACTCTTGGCATTCTCTCCATGAGCTTCAAGAGGTAGTCACCTGAAATGGTTTTCCAACAGTCTTGAAGGAGTTCCCAGAGGTGTTTAGCACTTGTTGGCCCCTTTGCCTTCACTCTGCGGTCCAGCTCACCCCAAACCATCTGGATTGGGTTCAGGTCCGGTGACTGTGGAGGCCAGGTCATCTGCCGCAGCACTCCATCATTCTCCTTCTTGGTCAAATAGCCCTTACACAGCCTGGAGGTGTGTTTGGGGTCATTGTCCTGTTGAAAAATAAATGATCGTCCAACTAAACGCAAACCGGATGGGATGGCATGTCGCTGCAGGATGCTGTGGTAGCCATGCTGGTTCAGTGTGCCTTCAATTTTGAATAAATCCCCAACAGTGTCACCAGCAAAACACCCCCACACCATCACACCTCCTCCTCCATGCTTCACAGTGGGAACCAGGCATGTGGAATCCATCCGTTCACCTTTTCTGCGTCTCACAAAGACACGGCGGTTGGAACCAAAGATCTCAAATTTGGACTCATCAGACCAAAGCACAGATTTCCACTGGTCTAATGTCCATTCCTTGTGTTTCTTGGCCCAAACAAATCTCGTCTGCTTGTTGCCTCTCCTTAGCAGTGGTTTCCTAGCAGCTATTTGACCATGAAGGCCTGATTCACGCAGTCTCCTCTTAACAGTTGTTCTAGAGATGGGTCTGGTGCTAGAACTCTGTGTGGCATTCATCTGGTCTCTGATCTGAGCTGCTGTTAACTTGCGATTTCTGAGGCTGGTGACTCGGATGAACTTATCCTCAGAAGCAGAGGTGACTCTTGGTCTTCCTTTCCTGGGTCGGTCCTCGTGTGCCAGTTTCGTTGTAGCGCTTGATGGTTTTTGCGACTCCACTTGGGGACACATTTAAAGTTTTTGCAATTTTCCGGACTGACTGACCTTCATTTCTTAAAGTAATGATGGCCACTCGTTTTTCTTTAGTTAGCTGATTGGTTCTTGCCATAATATGAATTTTAACAGTTGTCCAATAGGGCTGTCGGCTGTGTATTAACCTGACTTCTGCACAACACAACTGATGGTCCCAACCCCATTGATAAAGCAAGAAATTCCACTAATTACCCCTGATAAGGCACACCTGTGAAGTGGAAACCATTTCAGGTGACTACCTCTTGAAGCTCATGGAGAGAATGCCAAGAGTGTGCAAAGCAGTAATCAGAGCAAAGGGTGGCTATTTTGAAGAAACTAGAATATAAAACATGTTTTCAGTTATTTCACCTTTTTTTGTTAAGTACATAACTCCACATGTGTTCATTCATAGTTTTGATGCCTTCAGTGAGAATCTACAATGTAAATAGTCATGAAAATAAAGAAAACGCATTGAATGAGAAGGTGTGTCCAAACTTTTGGCCTGTACTGTATATTATATAATAATACTGCATATTTAAAGGTAGGGTCTGGAGGATTTTCCAGTTGCTGTTTGTAAACACACATTCAAATTCGGCCCCTCCTATCAGGCTCAACTCTCCCAGGTGTACGGAGCCCGGAGGTACGGAAGAAGGCTTCACAGAAGAGGTTCAGGCAAGGCTCGTGCTGGTGCACGCTCGGACACACTCGGACACGCTCGGGCATGGCACCTGCGCTCTCTCATTGGCTGGGGAAATCTCCGCCCAGAAGCTGCCCGTGCTCAGAAAAACATCAAAATACAGTTAAAGGGCGGGAGCTCTGCAAACAGAGTCACCACCACCAGGGGCGAAAAAGTTGTAGTCTGTCTTTTATACAGCATCTTTTACAGCAATTTGACGCTTTAATCTTCTCTCTATCTCTCCAACAGGCAGAGTGAATGTCTATACTAACTAAACTAGAACTAAAACTAAAACTAAACATTTCCTGCAATTAAACTGGTAAACTGGTTTATGAACAGTGTGCTGTGAGATCTGCCGCTATGTACCTCACAACCGTGCGTAATAGTCGCGTGTAATGACTGCTCCTCGTCTGCACGTCTTTGATGTTTGTCTCACTAACAGGAGGAGAGCTTACAGACAGGTACCCATTAGCTACGCTTCGTCACAACCGTGCGTAATAGTCGCGCATAATGACCGCTCCTCGTCTGCACGTCTTTCATGTTTGTCTCACTGACAGGTGGAGAACCTACAGACAGGTACCCATACGAGCCGCTCCGCCACAACCGTGCGTAATAGTCACGCGTAATGACCACTCCTTGTCAGTTAGACTGCACGTCTTTCATGTTTGTCTCACTGACAGGTGGAGAGCCTACAGACAGGTACCCATTGCTCCGCCACTGACTGCTCTTGTCCTGTCCTCTCCCTCTTCTTTCTCTCCTGTCCTCTCTATCATTAAACTCTGAGCTTAATCATTAGCTTTTAGCTTAGCAGCACTCGTAATTGAGTAGGCTTTTGAACAATGCAAGAGAAATGTTGCAGACAGTTTATATTATCAGCCTGGGCCTGGGGCTTGATGTAACAGTAAATGGGATGTGTTGTAACTTGTATAAGTTAAACTGTGTCTGTGTGAGTGAACATCTTACCCTGTAATGCGCGATGTGGACAGCGGTTCCAGCCACACACTGCTGCCAAGCAGCCCTGCCCGTTGGAAAGAGTGTGGGATATACCATTACTAGGAATGGGAGGGGGGGACTAAATCTTTTAAGATTTAAATAGCACATTATTGCGCGATTATAATGAGCACCGCTTACATTGTGCTTTTAATAAATACTACTGCACTGTTCAAAAATTATTAATTGTGTCTCAAATGATTCTAGGGGGGTACAGCTTTACTGAAGGGGGAGTCATGTCCCCCCTGTCCCCCCCGGGATTTCTGCCCCTGACACATGAGTAGAAGCCCATAGGTGATGATTAAGCAGGATTTCATTTGTATATGTCTATATTTTGTTTGAAAATCCTCCAGATCCTACCTTTAACTTTAAATGCAATAGTTAATATATAAGTCATGCAATTTTATTTGAGAAATTAAATAAATCAATTAATTAATTACAGACATTTAACAGCCTGAGGCTGGTTACACAAAACACATTCAGATTTTCCTAAAGTGAGTTATGTATTCATTAAAATGAAAAACAAAACACCCATTAGTCTTCTCCCTTGGGTTTCCTTAAAAGTATTCAAGGTTTTCTGCTTATCTTGCATTTACACTTAAGAAATCCCTTAATGCTGGTTCAAAGCAACGCTTACTTTTCTGGAAATGTTACGCTTTTCTTTGTTTAGGTTAAAATGCTATTAATAAGCTGATGGCACACTAAAATGTAATTGAATTCCATCAGAAATAAAAACTCAGAATTATAGCATTCTTATATGGTTCTAAGAAAACTCTGACCAATCATTGCTTTTGAATGCAATGATTGGTTGAGCATCCTGTCTGTCTTCCCCACGTGGAGGCCTCTGACTGGACAGACGTACCACTTACTTTTCCTCTTAGTAACGTTAACGCTACTATCTAACGTTAGCACTGTAACCTTATTCAAAACTCATCAGTGATCACTGACTCCGGTTGAGTTTTAAAATGCCGGGGTTGCGTTTGACTGTCTTGGTTGTAACGTTACACTCGCTCTCCTCTTCCGTGTATCTAACGTTACCTTGCCAATGCTTACGTCTATCATAGACGAAATGTGGACGTAATGGAGGAGGGGGAGTAGGCCTTTGGAGGGAGGTGGAGTTGCAGGGGGAGGGGGGTGGGACTTTGGAGGGAGGCGGGAGTTGTGGATGTTCAAATTTTTTCTAAGTGCTGTGTGAAACGCAAGAAAGGTAAGAGTAGCTGAGTAGTGAATGCCTAATTGTTTTTCCTTAACTAAGAAAATGTTTTAAGGGATTCCCTGCAACACTTTTATTAAGTCCCTTAGCTAAGGGGAAAATAAGCCTTAAGTGAAATTTTTTTTAAGATGTTTTGTGCAACTGGCCCCAGAACAAAAATAGATAATAAATTCCATATTATATTTATTATTCATATACAGCTGTAGAATCACCCTAAAAAGCACCAGAAATCATTTTAATATCTGATATTATTTGTGTGGTAATTTATTCTCTAATTAAAGATTTCTCAATTGACTCCAGTGTTCTATTTTAAAATTTGGTTTCCATTTGAAACAGTTATTTTTTCTTGCTTACATTACTATTTATCCATTTTAGAGTTAAGGTTAAATTTAAACGAAGCATTCCAAGGACAGTTTTGTCAATTTTATCAGCAGTCGTGAAATAAAGTGTTTTGTTTTGTTTTGTTTTTACAGCCAGCCTTCAGTTCCGGTGTGGCGGGGTCAACTTTTTTATAAAAAGAATAGCTATTTCATCCAAAATAGCATGAGTCAGAATCATCTAATGAGATCATACAGTATATAGGAACAATCATAACGGTCAGAGGGGGCAATTTCAGACTTTTCATGCTTTACTGATTATTTTTACATACTCTTACGGAGGGGACATTTTCAGTGCAGGGCATTTCCTTCTGACAGTGTATTTATTTTAACCATAGACATACGTATATACATATATGTATATATGTCTATGATTTTAACAGTGTGGTACAGGTTCTTTACTGAATTAAAGGATCTGAATACTTCCTCCACGGTGCCCTAACCTAACCTTTGCACTAACCGAGGAGGACATCGTTACGGGAGATACACTGCGAAGGGGGAACCAACTTCGTCAAAACACCTAGTGGTGAGTGGCTTCTGCGCACGCGTCGCAGTAGGGTTGTAACGGAAGCAGCACGGCAGCGCTCACAGCCTGGCTGTCTGACTGACACTGAATGAGAACGCACTGATTTCGACTCCAAAAATGCTGAAATTTCTACCTAAACTGATGCTGCTAGCGCTGTTAGCTTTCCCGGCGACCATCCTTATCAAAGGTAAGTTTTGCTCACGGAGGTCAAGACACTGTTTAATTAGCTAGTAAGCTTTAACACGCTAGTGTTAGCTCCTCGGCTAACTAGCCTCTGTGGGGGTAAAAGGGGAAGGCCGTTCTCCATTTGACATGTGCTAGCTGAAAGTAACTGTGAATATAAAAATGAGATCACTCTTTCAGGGAAATTAAAAAGTATTTACCTATGGCATTTCTTTCTTTGAGTGTTAAACTGTCAACAAGTATAATTTAAAGTTTGCTACCTGTTTTGAGTTTATCCGCCTGCTTAGACTGACGTGTCCTTACTGTCTGCTAGCTGTTAGCTGTTAGCTGGGAAGCTAAGTAGCGCTGCTAACTGTCAGTCAGTTTCCTGGACACATGACCCGTTAAACTTCTGTTTTAGTATAGTCTAATCTCTCTAGTAACTACATTTAATATCGACTGTAATCGATACACACATTTAAAAGTTGCATTGAACTGACTATAGCTATTACAGCTAACATTAATGGTGCAGGTGTAGTAGGATCACTGGTCGTTGTTGTTAATGGCCACTAACTTCAGTAGTCATTTCAGCACACATGTATTTTTAATATGACTAAGGCCTGCCGTTAAATATGTTCTGATTCACTGTAATGATGACTGTGATAGGGTCTCTGGGCTAGTAGATCTGTGGGTAATGCTGAGCTCTCACATTATAAGGTTGAGATTTATCGGTAAGTAGCTTAAGAGCAATAGCCTCAGGATGCAGCTGTAGGAGGAGATTTTTGGGTTACACTGAGCTTATATGAAGCTATAGTTTGTCTTGTATATTTGGATACTGAGGAACACTGCTGCAGATATCTTGTGATCCTAAATGACATAAAAGTTTCCAAAGGAACAACATATTGAGCCAGTTGTTTCAGCCAAATGTGTGTAAAATGATGCACAGGGTTTTTGTAATTTACTTAATTGGTGCATTAGGAATGGGCAATATAGATAAAGTGCTGTATCATGGTATACAATATGGAATTGTTCACATTTACATTTTATGCAAGATCAATATGTATACTGCCCAAGACAAATTTCCCTTGCGGGACAATAAAGTTTATCTTATCTTATCTTATCTTATCTTAATCTTATTGTTATAATAAATTATGGCGGAACTCAGCCGAGGATCTGTTAATGGATAAAACGACCTGACGGGATGTCAGTTTTTTGCTAATGCAGAGAATTTAATACTCGTGAGATCAAAACACTTCATCACATTGATGCTAAGGCCCTTAAAGTCCAGTATTACAATAAGGATTAAGATTAAGGATTAACCTCTGGATGTCATAGATCATTGCCCACAATGATCTATGACATCCAGAGGTCTTAAAGGGTGAGCTTAAAAACTGAGAGATTTTTTTTTTTTTTACAAATGCTTTACTGAGAAATATTTTTCAGACCATTCAAGTTCCCAGAAATTTCATTTATGCCCAGTTTCCAGTTTTATAAGGTACACTTACAGCTACAGCTAATGCAGTCTAATAGTCCTCTAATAGTAAATCCAACCTTCATGACGTTTATATTGTTTATAGGTTTTTAACCACTTCAAAGAGGTGTTTGATTCAACTGTATGGGGAGTTTAAAGGATGCTGTTGAATTGCTTTGCTTTTTACTGAAAGTTGTTTCTAATATTTAGTCTAACCTTATCAATAGAACTTGAGAAAGTATGAAACACAATAATGAACATACTAGGGTTTACGGCAGGGTATGTGCAAGTCTACTTTCATTCTAAGTGTCAGCAGAATTTACAGCATTAAGATGAGTTGAAGGTGTTGTAGGTGTCAGCAGGCAAGATCATTTGCAGCTATTTGTGTCTGCACAGTCTGACTTAGAGCCCAAGATGAATATCTGTAATCTTTGTCAACCTCCTTTACAGTAAGTGAGGATGAAAGAGGCAAATGATGCTTTCATGTCTCGCCCCAACATCTTCTTCATGTGGAAATGTGTTGAACCACGGAAGAAAATTACATTCTGAAGACCTTTTTTGTGACTGTTTCTTTGCCTTGTTCTTGTATTTTTTGTGGGTGAGGGAGAAAAGTGGGGGTGTGTTTGGATTACCAGTTTTCTTTAGTTGCTGCTTGTGGCAAAAACATCAAAGAGCTCTCGACAGAAAGCTATTTCTAAGGAGTCTTAACCTAAAAAATCTCTCTCAGTGTGTACTGTCTATATAAAAACTCTTCTTTAAAAAAAGGTTGTGTTTTAACAATTTTTCATCAGGGCCGGTGGTGAGTGCGCAGGATCTGACTGAGGATGAGGAGGCTGAGGCTGTTGATGAAGATGTTGTGGATGATGTGACGGCTGAGGACGAGGATGACGAGGCGGAAGTGGAAGATGATGAGAATGCAGAACTGGTGAGTGACTAAGTAATTACATATCAGCAAATGACAGCTGCATCTTGTCCAGTAGATAAACCAGCTAAAAGGGCTGTGTCTAGATTTTTGGGGGCCCTATGCAAAATCTTGTTTTGTCCCTCTATGTCAGTCACTCAGAAATACACACCAAATCTGCATCATATTCCATATGCATATGAGACCAAACTCTGCCTTTCACACATAAAATAAACATTTTAATTTACTTTAGCTGCATTGGCAACATAAAAACAAAGTGAGACAGAGTTTTTTTCTTCAGTATTTAACAACTGAACATGTAAGGAGAGATAAAGCATCCACAAAAGAGCAATGAAAAATATGTCAGGAGGAGTCTTGAGAGAAAATATAATACAGATCAATGAGGTTTGCTTGAATAGAACAACATAACAGACTCACTCATTTGATACATCCACAAAATCTGGCCAAAGGCTTTTACATGTTTGAGCCACTTGGTCCAGAATTTAATGAAGACATTTTTCTGAAGATGCAGAGAAAAATAAATATTTTCTATGAAATAAAGCATTAAGTACGGGGCTTGACGCTAACTTTTTCCCCAAGGAGCACATGTGCTCCTAAGTTGAAAAAGTAAGGAGCGCACAAAGAACTTTAGGGGCACAATGTAAATTGATCAAATAATGTGTTTTCCGTAATAAATGTGATGCAAATAGACATTTACAAGCAAAATTATTTAATGAATTTGTATACAAAATGTACAGAAAGGTAAAATTATCAAGTTTTGAAAAAGTATTGCAATTTAATTTTGTCTTTAAAGTTATTGTCTTATATATATTATCTTTGCAATATGATTATCTTATATAATGTTATTACTATCCTAAAACATTCTCCAGGTCCTCTGAAACTCTGCAGGACTTATTTCCACCCTGCCCAGCAGCGGTACTGTGGCGAACGGTCCCTAACTGCGTGAAATTAAAAAAAATTTAAATTCGAGTGCAGGCTGGCGGAGCGCAGACGCCGCGGCCCTCTCGCACGCCGCTCAGCTCGGGGGCAGAGCAGTGCGCTCTTGCGCTGCGGCTGCTGAAGTTGCTCCAACATTTGCGGTTAGATTATCATTTTTTTTATTGACAAAAATATAGGCTGCTTCGGCTGATTTTTTTTTTTTATGCGCACATGTGCCCCTAAATATTTTTTACAGTTCGCACACACCTATTTTTAGTCACAAATGCGAGTGAAACGCTTGTACTGTCGAGCCCTGCAGTATATCTATCCACTCCTGGGCAATGGGGGGTTCAGGAAGCACTTTTTACAAGTGGATATTAAAATAGCAAATATATGTTCATCAGGACGCTTTGCCTAAAAATCAACATTTCCTGAAAATGATGTGGAAAATGGCCGTGTTCTTCTCTGATTGAGGTCCTGGAACTCATTAGATGTACAGTACAGGCCAAAAGTTTGGACACACCTTCTCATTCAATGCGTTTTCTTTATTTTCATGACTATTTACATTGTAGATTCTCACTGAAGGCATCAAAACTATGAATGAACACATGTGGAGTTATGTACTTAACAAAAAAAGGTGAAATAACTGAAAACATGTTTTATATTCTAGTTTCTTCAAAATAGCCACCCTTTGCTCTGATTACTGCTTTGCACACTCTTGGCATTCTCTCCATGAGCTTCAAGAGGTAGTCACCTGAAATGGTTTTCCAACAGTCTTGAAGGAGTTCCCAGAGGTGTTTAGCACTTGTTGGCCCCTTTGCCTTCACTCTGCGGTCCAGCTCACCCCAAACCATCTCGACTGGGTTCAGGTCCGGTGACTGTGGAGGCCAGGTCATCTGCCGCAGCACTCCATCACTCTCCTTCTTGGTCAAATAGCCCTTACACAGCCTGGAGGTGTGTTTGGGGTCATTGTCCTGTTGAAAAATAAATGATCGTCCAACTAAACGCAAACCGGATGGGATGGCATGTCGCTGCAGGATGCTGTGGTAATCATGCTGGTTCAGTGTGCCTTCAATTTTGAATAAATCCCCAACAGTGTCACCAGCAAAACACCCCCACACCATCACACCTCCTCCTCCATGCTTCACAGTGGGAACCAGGCATGTGGAATCCATCCGTTCACCTTTTCTGCATCTCACAAAGACACGGCGGTTGGAACCAAAGATCTCAAATTTGGACTCATCAGACCAAAGCACAGATTTCCACTGGTCTAATGTCCATTCCTTGTGTTTCTTGGCCCAAACAAATCTCTCCTGCTTGTTGCCTCTCCTTAGCAGTGGTTTCCTAGCAGCTATTTGACCATGAAGGCCTGATTGGCGCAGTCTCCTCTTAACAGTTGTTCTAGAGATGGTTCTGCTGCTAGAACTCTGTGTGGCATTCATCTGGTCTCTGATCTGAGCTGCTGTTAACTTGTGATTTCTGAGGCTGGTGACTCGGATGAACTTATCCTCAGAAGCAGAGGTGACTCTTGGTCTTCCTTTCCTGGGTCGGTCCTCATGTGTGCCAGTTTCGTTGTAGCGCTTGATGGTTTTTGCGACTCCACTTGGGGACACATTTAAAGTTTTTGCAATTTTCCGGACTGACTGACCTTCATTTCTTAAAGTAATGATGGCCACTCGTTTTTCTTTAGTTAGCTGATTGGTTCTTGCCATAATATGAATTTTAACAGTTGTCCAATAGGGCTGTCGGCTGTGTATTAACCTGACTTCTGCACAACACAACTGATGGTCCCAACCCCATTGATAAAGCAAGAAATTCCACTAATTACCCCTGATAAGGCACACCTGTGAAGTGGAAACCATTTCAGGTGACTACCTCTTGAAGCTCATGGAGAGAATGCCAAGAGTGTGCAAAGCAGTAATCAGAGCAAAGGGTGGCTATTTTGAAGAAACTAGAATATAAAACATGTTTTCAGTTATTTCACCTTTTTTTGTTAAGTACATAACTCCACATGTGTTCATTCATAGTTTTGATGCCTTCAGTGAGAATCTACAATGTAAATAGTCATGAAAATAAAGAAAACGCATTGAATGAGAAGGTGTGTCCAAACTTTTGGCCTGTACTGTATATCATAGAGAATCAGGAGGCTGTTGACCTCCGCGACCGTGTTCTCTCGTATTGTGATATAAGTATGTTAACTTTATTGAGAGGAGTTAAAAACAACTGCTTCCTTTCAATAAGGGAAGAAAAATGGTCTGAAAATGGTATGAATGTGTCATGATATACCTCTTTATATTAATATTGAAATAAACCGTGTGTGTCTAGACGGAAGAAAAAGAAGATGAAGAGGAAGAAGCGTTGGTTGGAGAGGTGAAAGCTTCCCCCAATGCTGACACCACCATCTTGTTTGTTAAAGGAGAAGGTAAGTTTCTCTAAAGTGTTGTGCCCTCTGTTGATCAACTGGAGATGGCCATAAAGAAAAGACAATGAACTCTTCTTCTCGTTTCACTCCAGACTTCCCCGCCAACAACATTGTCAAATTCCTGCTCGGCTTCAGCAACAAGGGATCAGAGAACTTCATTGTAGAGTCCCTGGACGCTTCTTTCCGTTACCCACAGGTACAAAAAAACACTTCCCTTTCTGCCTCACAATAACAACCATTCTCACTTCTCAGATGAATGATCTTTTCTTTGCATGTCTTTCTAACTTTCTGTTCTGTTCTTGTCAGGATTATCAATTCTACATCCAGAACTTCACAGCTCTCCAGCTCGGCATCGTGGTTCCCCCCAGCAGACAGGCTACCTTTGAGTACTCGTTCATCCCCGCAGAGCCAATGGGAGGGCGGCCGTTCGGACTCGTCATCAACCTCAATTACAAGGACAGCAATGTAAGTTTTTATTGGATAAATGCAGGTGTTGTCAGTGACATGTCTTGTATGGATGGAAGCTGCCAAATAAATGACCCCATGTATACATTTAGATAGTCACGTTAAATGTACAAAAAACATTAAAAACACAAATGTATGCATTAATTATTTGATATTTCTATGTAGTTTGATTTATTATTTATTACTTTTGTATAATTTTCCCCAATTGTTTACTTATCTATTAATTTTCCCTATTAATTTAATTAGTTTTTTTTTTTTAAGATTTAAATTCACTCTTTTTTAATGTTTGTAGTCCTCAAAGTTAGGTCTCAGAAATATTTAAAAATAATGACACCTAGTCCTAATTTTGTGTGTTCGCCTGTATTGTTGCACACAATAAGAGATGAGAGTTGGAGGACTCATCAGAATGCTGGCTTCTTAAAGTTTTCTACTAACATAGAATTACATTGCCAATTGTCTGCGAATGAGTGCAGTTAAACAGCACAGAAACTGGTGACTTTGTAACATGTATTTGATCGTTACTGGTGACCCTGAAAAGTTTTAAATTTGGATGAAAATGCAGATTGTTTTTCTAGCTAACCTGACATGTAAACAAAGACCGTGATAAGGCGGGCAGTAAGAGTAACCTGTATGTCTCTTTTTATTTTCTTATCTCGCCACTTTCTTCAACACTCTCTGACCTGTGACCTGCTCCAATATCTCCAATATCTGCTTGTTCTCTTTCTCTTCTCTCTCATCTTCCTTTGACTTTTGCTGTTGCCTTCTCTTAACATCTTTTTCTGCTTTCCTTTTTCCTCTTTTTTACCTTCTTTCTCCTCCTCTCCGTAGGGAAACATTTTCCAGGATGCAGTGTTCAACCAGACGGTCACCATCACAGAGAGAGAGGATGGCCTAGATGGAGAGACGTGAGTGTTTCCATCACTTTTACTGGTGTTTGTGTGATTAATTTATTTCCCTTACATCCCATCTTTTAATCCTGCATCTGATCTTCTCTCCCTCTCATATATTCATACACTCCTCTTTCTCTCCGTCTCTCCCAGAATCTTCATGTACGTCTTCCTGTCAGGCCTCGGGCTGCTGGTCATCGTAGGCCTTCACCAGCTGCTGGAGTCCAGAAAGGTAAAGATTACAACAGTGTTTACAACAGTGAGCCAGTTGTTTTTAAATCTGTCGTTTAATTTATTTAAAAAAAACATCCAGTAAAGCACCTGGCTCCACCTTTTTAAATGTAGGATTTTGCTAAATTTCTATCATTATAAACAAAACATTTGAAGAATTTCCCTTACAATCTTGAAAACTGTTTTGTACTCTATTTTTGACCTTTTGTAGACTAAAATGATTGATCAGTTCATCAGAAATCATCGATAGATGCATCAGTAATTAAAACAGTCATGTAGCAGCCTATAAAAATAAGGTTCTTGGATTGACATGGCAGATTAACTAGTCAGAGTTTACCACCACAGCAGTAAACATGGAGGAAGTGCTGAATTTGCATTAACAATAAATGGCAGTGGCACTGAATAAATTTACATGACTTCAAGGTTTCTTACTCTGTGTCTATGTGTGTGTGTTTCTGTGTACAGAGGAGGCGTCCAGCTCCCAAAGTGGAAATGGGAACTTCGAGCCACAATGACGTCGACTTGAGCTGGATCCCTCAGGAAACGCTCAACCAGATCAGTAAGTCACATCCAGCACTCATACACACACACACACACACACACACTTGTCAGCTCGCACACCAGCTTCTGTCCTCTGCACCGTTTTATTCTCTACAAACCTCAACCAGTTTATATGCTACGCTTCTGTGCTGTGTTTTCTGAAAGCCAACGTTCAGAGACTTAAAAAAACAAAAACAGAAACAAAACAAAAAACGTCTTTAAAATGTCTGATTGTATTGCATAGTTTTTGAAATGTTTTTAGCTGGTAGGTCAGGATATTGAACCTCAAATCTTCTTCAATAACTAGAGAATTCTGTTATTATTCAGTGTTTACCCTAGGATGGAATTGGAGCAGCGGAGGTGAAGCACGCGCACGAAAAAAAACATTTCACACGCACAAAACTTTTTTGTATGCTTGCAAAGCACAGCCTGCTGGGATGTTTCTATGTATCTGCTGGCACCAGAAGGGCTCTTTGGGACTAAGTACATACAGTATATTTGTGCACAGTAATGAGCAGGTGAAATGCCTGTCTAGCTTACATATGAGGTGTCTCAAGATTTAGGAAAATACAATTTTATTGAACATAATAAAAGTATAATCTTTAAAACAATTGGCATTTATTGAACAAAAATATATTAACAACCAATCCATATACAGTAAAATCACATAACATATATTAAAACAATCAAAAAGGTGTGTAGTGTTTGGGTATATAATATGGCCTGTTTAAGTGCTGGAGGTTGTTATTTATTTGACAATGCCTGAACGCAACACAGGCTCCGCTCCAACTGTGTGTGCGTGCTGTGCTGTGCTGCTGTGTGAGCAGCGTGTTTGACTGCGTAACAGCAGTCTTTTGATAGTCATTTACACACTGTCCATAACAATAACTATGTCAGATATCAAACTGTGTCGGGCTCGGGTCGGGTTCGGTCAGGAAAATGCCTGTGTGCGCATGTGTCTGTGTGCGCATGGGGGCAGAACTCCGCCGTGCGCGATGCAGAGAGCAGAGGAGAATTGTAAATGCGCGACCATGCAGAGACAGAAATGACATGCCATTGTGTAAATAAGATAAATAACATAAGGCTATTTAGTTTGTTCAATAAAAGGACAAGGTATAGACCTGTTCTATAGGAAAGGTAGCCTTAAATGACTTCTGTTGTGATCTGGCGCTTTATAGAAAATGAGACGAAAAAAAACAAAGATCTTTTCCTAATTTTCATAATTGCATATAGGGGAAACACTGTTATTATCAAGTATCAAATGTACAGTATGGAAAGCTCAAGGTGAATGTCTGTTCAGATTCTTACCCTTTTTGATCAGTTATAAAGTCCTGAATGATAAAATTCATTTCATCTTGTGTGCACAGAACAATCACCTATTGTGACCTTGGGGGCTCCATGAATATGTCCTGATCAATCAGAAACTTTTTCTAACTTTAAACGATATTTTAATTAAGAAAGTACTTAATTTAAACCTGATGCGTTAAGGTGCTTGGAATGTTTCATAAATGCAAAAAGCCCTTTAGATTAAAGCCGCAACAATTCCTCAGTCAATCAACAGAAAATAAACAGACACCTATTTTTATAATTGAATAATGGTTTCACTAATTTTTTAAGCAAAACTGACAAACATTTCATTTTTCTTAAATGTGAGAATTTGATGCAGCTGTCAGACAAGAAACCAAACAGCTTTGGATTTTTGGACTGTTGGTCAGATAATATAAAACATTTGGAGATGTCACCCTGGGCTCTGCAAAATTACACAGGGCATGTTCCACTATTTTCTGACATATTATTTACAGAACATTTCATCAAATGAATAATGTGAAAATAATCAATCGGAATAAAAACTAAATAAATAAAAAGAAATAAAGAATAATCACTGGTTGCAACCCTATGTTTATAAGTATTGAGGAAAAAGATAGTATTGGGCCCAACTCTTAAATAGTGCAACCAAATTTGAGTGTCAGCAGCCCAAAATAATCATTATAACAAGCAAAACTCTCAGAAAATTAAAGCAGATAACAAACAAAAATGAAAAATGAATGTGCATATTCTAATGCATTGCTTTATACTACAAGTAGCGACATTATGAATTTAATAACGTTCCCAGTAGTGTGGTGGCAATGTCACTACTTTCTGTGTCAAATAGCTTTTCAGTAGTGAAGTTGATTAATTGACCAGATGTGCGGTAGCATCCACAAAAGTTAGAAGCTCTTTTTCCCAGGAAAAGCTCTGAAGTGCAGCAGACTCTTTTTCTGCAGAGGTGTGGCTAAAAGTATGGATAGTAAAACTGAGGATAGGTAATGTGACTGACGCCAGCGCCACATGGAGGCATGTAGACGATAGAATTACCACCTGTCCCCTATAAAACAGGATTGTCCCATATTGAAAAATAAAATGACCTGTCCCTTATTGATTCAGTAAGGGACGCAGCTTGTCCCATATTTCTGTGCACACAATATTCTGCTGCATAAACTATGTTTTCACCTGCTGGGAATGACATGAGAAATATTAAACAAAAAGAGTTTCACAAGACATCGTGGAGAAATAGTAAATCAGAATTTTTGGAGGGAGAATGTCACATGATGGCAGGTTTGTCACTCAGTGTCATTGTTGCCATGGTTTTCAAGACTCTGCTCAGGACCACTGTTAGCGCGCGCACTGACAAGCTGACTGACTGATAAAGTTATCTGAAGGTCCAATTACGCTCGGATGTTAAACTTATAGAGCTTATGGATTTATGAAGCGTCACATGCATTTATATCTCAGTCATTGTGGGACTGGGCGCACATGCACCAGCTTTGTTGACACTCCCACATTGAGACATAAATTGATGGAAAAACACCCTTCAATCAGTTTGCAAATCAATATCTGTGCCCACTCCACCACTCATTAGACCTGTCGACTAAAAATAGGGCAGCGAGGAAGTGCAGTTTTACAGACTGTCTCGCACCAACGTGATTCTCTGACAGAACAGCTGTCATTACATGCGACCTTTACGTATGCCAGTAGCTATTGATAGCACCTGTGCCACTAATTCATTACATGTAGGCCTATCTGCAAACCATCATTGTGGTGGTATTTCAGTCTTTAGTATAAAACGTTGATTATTGATTCATTTATAGCTCTACACAGAGGTAACGTAAGCGGGTTGTGTAACAGAAATAAACATCCATGTGAAACACAGTGCGCTGTATAGTTGTACTGGATTTAATGAAATCTCGAGGGAAATAATTTGCCTCCAAGCTTTTTAGTAATCGAATTATTCGAGTTACTCAAGGAATCGTTTCAGCCCTGCTTAAAATTGAGGTAAGGATGTTTTACCGTACAACATAAAGTAGATATAAACATGCCCGAAAAAGTTGTAGTAACTGTCAAAGCGTTTGCAGTCTGGAGCTCAACCGAACAAAATAGTGGAAAGCTTTTACCAAAAAGGTGACAAAACATTTCACCAGAAGACAAGAAAACCACATGAGGATTAAAAACTTGTCACTCCTTGAAGCGATTGATTGATGCTCGGTCCAAACTCTTAAACTTTGTGTCTGTTGATGTTTGTGTCCTCACAGAATGAGCTGATGTGTATGTGCAGGTGTCTCTGTTCTCTTCCTGCTTCACCTGTTCCTGTATGAACTTTAACCTCCACTGTGCATGGGGATCACTCACTCTTTTCTTTTTCTCTCTATGCCTTCCTTGCTGTCATGTTTCCCTGCGTCTTCAGTGCAGAGTCGCAGAGGTGAGGTCTGCTTTGTGTGTGTGTGTGTGTGTGTGTGTGTGTGTGTGTGCGTGCGAGAGAGAGAGACAGAACACTCTTTAAATTTAATACTGATGTTGAATTTCTAACTTTGATACAGTACCTTCAAAAATATTGATATTCAATACCATTTTCAATATCATGAGGAAAAATTTTCATTGAGGGCACAATATTTAAAATTCTTATTAAAATAAAAATAAAACAAGGCTATAACATGTCAGTGTCAACATTTCTTTTAGTGGTTAGCAGAATACAGCAGAATGACTGTTGTAAGCATCAAGAATAGGCAAGAATGTGCAGCTGGTACAGGTGTATTACTAATGAGGAAAATGAGTATTGAAACTGGTTAAATACTCAGAATTGATATGTATTGATAAATCAGTATTTTTGACAGCACTACTTGGTTTTCATTTTTCGTCTTTGAGACAAGCTGACGTAAGCTTGTGACATGCTAACGTCAAGGCAACGTGATCTTGGTTGGTCCAGTTGTGTCTAGAAGCTGTTATTGATGTTTTTTTTTTTTTTTTTTTTTTGTTTTTTTTACTGTCGCTGTTCCCTGTTATAGTCATTCCCCAGCTGCAAGTACACTGCTACATGATGATGTTGTAAATTTCTCCCAGATTGCAGATCATATTCCTGCTGGAACACGTCTGGTTATGTTTACCATGGAAAGTGCAGCTATACTCCGTTACAGTCATTCCCTAGCTGCAAGTACACTGCTACATGTAGCAACATACTAATGTCGTGATCTTGGTTGCCCATGTCTTCTAAATTTGCTCCCCAATTTGGGGTCACCTTTTTCACTGTAGAAATGCCACTATTCTTCGTTACACTTGTTGCCCAGCTGCAATGACAGTGAAGAGATGCCGAGATGTGTCAGACCTGGAAACACTGACCAATCAGAGCAGACTGGGCTTTTTTGAGAGGGGGGCTTAGAGAGGAAGACACTACAAGTGTTTTAGGCAGAGGCTGAATTCAGGTGTTCCAGCACAGGACAGTATGAGGAAAATGACGTGTTTTTAATGCTTGTGAACATGTTTTAGTAGAAACCCAAAATACAAATGTGAACCCGAAAATGAGCAGGATAGGTCCCCTTTAACCTAATTCCAACAAAAGACTGAATGTGCCTGAATATGACTTTTTGTGTTTATTTCTCCGTCTTCCCCAGACAAAGCGTCTCCCAAAAGATCTCCTCGCAAAAGAAGCCAGAAACGCTCGGCTGGCTCGGACGAGTGACGGGTGCCTTACACCACGGCGACAAATCTTCACCCACCCGTCTACGTAGGAGGAGGAGGAGGGCTGTGAGCGCCACGCTGAGCGTACTCTGCCCTCTCTACTGAGAAACTTTAACCAGTGCCAAGCACAGCGATGGCTGGCTCTCTACTTTCAGCTTAAAAACTGTTGAACACACACACACACACACACACACACACACACACACAGTCCGTTTTGTTTAACAAGTAACGAGTTCTCTGCAGCCGTCACATGAGGAAGAAAAGTGAGAAGGATCACACAGGTGTGTTGGGTTTAAAGGCACGTGAGGACATTTTTCTCTAGAGGTTGTTGCTGTTCTTTCAGATTTACATTTGTTGAAGCCTTAGTGAGATAACTGCTGATGTGATCATTGTGAGACCGTTTTGATTGTTTTGTTCATTACCTACCACTCTAGTGTAGGGCTGGAACTAAATGTGGATTCATCAATTAGTTGACTAGCTAAAGTTATTAGTTGACAAATTGTTAAAGTCAAGAAAAGTACCCCAAAGTTCTGGTTCCAGTCACTAAAATTTCCTTCTTTGTCACTTATTTTCTACATTTTAGTTCAAATGTGACCCAACGAGTATTTTACAGATGACAGGATGATGGAAATAGTTGTTAGTTGCAGCCCTACTCTGGTGACAAATGCAGTTAATGTTTTGGATTTTTTTTAATCTATTTTGTAGATTCTGTCTGCATATTTTAGACTTTGTAGAGCTCTCTTCTAGCAGCTCTGTTGCCCCTTTCCTGCTTTGCTTTGCTCATGTTACTGCACAGATCCTAAAGGAAAGTCTGATCCTGGTGTCGCTCTTTCACCACACCACCAATGCTCCGTCTCAAAAAGTCTGCAAGGACTCTGTGCCGTCCGCCTGTTGAAATTTAGAGACCCCACCAGACCTTTTGAGCCCCTTGTGCAAGAACGAGAACAGCATGAGGCAACATCCCATATTTCCTAATGTTCACTTAAATGGGAGACATGAATTAGACATGGAAGGAGCTTGGAAGAACATACACCCAGCAGCAATCACTGTGTGTAGTTTCTTATGTTTGGATGGCATGACAACATTGTTCTTGTTTCGCTGCGATGTTTCAAAGAGCGTTTGAGCTCTGTGGTCTAAAGCTGCCTACAAACATGGCGATTAATACGCACAATAGGTCTCATTGAAGTGGTTGAAGTTGTGTAAAAACTGTTGCTGATCTACTGTCAACAGAAAATAGACATTTCCTTGTTCCACGTTTGAGATTTTGTGATTGTTTTGCATTTGAACGTCACATTTAGGAAGGAGAGGCACAGAAGAAATGATTAACTGATTAGGAAAAACTCTTTGATGCAAAAATTTGCTGGTTCTGACATCTTAAATGTAAATCTTTGCTGGTTTTATTAGACTCCTGTGATGGTCTTTGGGTTTTTGACTGTTAAATGGAAAACACAAGCAAGTTAAAGACATTAATTTAGGCTCTGGGTAACTGATGGGCTTTTTCTTTTTTCTGACAACAATTAAAAAGAAAAAATGGGCAGATTAATAGATGATTTGAACTAGGAGCTAACATAACATAAGCAAGTTGATCATTTGGTTCCTCATCAGATCTGTGGACAGGAAATAAGTGAAGAGGACAAGTCAGCAGAGTTGAGCTATACCTGCTCTTTAACCCCAACACCCTAAGTTTAAACCCCGACAGGATGAGGGGGTAGAGAGGTCTCATCATGTGAAAAAACATCATTGAATGTCACCTAACAGGCCAGGTTATCATGAATGAACAAGATGTTTTAGTTTCTCTTGTTAAACAGCAACAAGAATTGAAATCTTTAAATCCTCAACGTGTGCCTGTTTTCTACTTTTCTGTCTGTAAATGTGTTTACTTCTGGCTTTTCTCCACAAGCAGCTTGTTCAAAATCAGAACAGTAACTTAACAGATAGTGGGTCTTTTTGTTTTTCTTTTGAATTGTAAAAAAAAAAAAAATACTGAACTGGCTAAAGCACTGGTGTAAATACTGGCTGATGGATGATGATGATGATGACGTGAGAGCAAAAATTACTGAGCTAATTTATTTGAATGACAGATTGGGGTGAAATGGGGGGTTTGTGCACTGTGTTTTTTGTTTGTTGTGGGGGGTTTTCTTTACCACTAGGGGATGACTCTATGGAAGCCCATTTTAGCTTGAAAGTCATTATGACAAACTTTAGTGAAATAATGACTTCCTTATTTCAAAGTAATTACTTGGTATCTCAAAGCAATGACATAGTAACTTAAAATTAATGAGAAACTTTTTCAAAATAATTACATAGCACTTTGAAAGAAACTCTCAAAATATTGACTTCGTATCTAAAAAAAAAATAATATCAGAAATGAGACACTGTCAAAATAATAACTTAGTATTTCAAATTAATGACAAACTCAGAATATTGACTTCATATGTCAAAATAGGCCCAAGTCAGAATTAGAAATTAAGAAAGTTTCTTATTTTGAGATACTTTGTCATTCTTTCAAGATATGAGTCATTATTTTGAGAAAGTTTCTCATTCAAACTAAAAGGATTTTTTTCATTACATCGGCAGAAATGGGCTTACATACGACACTTACTGTACAGGTCTTGGACTTGGTTTAAAGTTCCTTTGCTGCAGCGTTTGGTCATTTAAAGCTTTGTGGCTTTGTGAGTAACTGACCTCAGAGTTTGGATCTGAACTGTAGCTGCATGTTGGACTCTTAAATGTACTGCAGATAATCCAAGCAGGCAGTATAAACAGAAAACACATGATCCAAGCGTGAGTACACAGCTGAGGTTTGTTGATACCACTTGTTCACCCACAGAGAACTGAGCTGATGTTTAGTTTTTTTGTTTGTTTGTTTGTTTTCTAAAATAACGGGACTGTCATTCATAGATTCGAGCTTTTACTTTCATTTGCTTTTAAATGTGCAGGAAATAAACTTTGATGATTTGCTGTAGGCTCTGTACCTCCTTTATTGCTTTTGATTTTTCCCTCTCTAATGATAATTTAAAATGAAAATTTCTCTGGGAGTCTATGTTGAAAAAGATCAACTTAATCTGCCAAAATAGCGAAAAACAATTAGTTGATTGAAAGAAAATAGCTTAATTATTTTAAATTGTCACTTTTCATGTTTTAAACATTCAAACTTCTGCTAATGCTTTTTTTTGTCATGTTAAAAATATATTTAATATTTTTGGCAGTTAGGCAAAACCAAGAATTTGAAGACATCATTTGTTCTCAGGAAAACTACATTTTCTACATTTAATTTTATAGACAAGGTCTATAAGGTCTAATTGAGGTCATAACTGACTGACTAACTGATGGATCGTTAAATCATTTTCATAGGTTTCTTTAAGAAAAAAAAAAGTTATCAGGCAAACTTTTTTTATGCTGCTAGTTTGGCCAGTTCTCTCTTGTAACACAGATCAGGAAACTAGAAGAAACTAAGAAACTTCCTGGTTTAATGGTCCAATGTGTAAGATTCAGGGAGATTTAGTGGTGTCTAGCAGTGAGGATTGCAGATTTCAGCCAGCTGAAACTTTTTCTGGTTAGAATTCCCTCAGTTTTTATTGTTCAGAATGTTTTTACTGGGAGCCCAATTATCCACAGAGGTGTCTTCCTCTCCAAAACTAACAAACAACAAAAAAAAAAGGAAAAAAAAAAACTGACCAAATTCTTAAAATGAGTTAAGCCATCTAGTCAGGTTCACGATGTCCTGATTTCAACCTTCGTTCAAAAGCTGCCATCTTGGACTTTCCAAATTTCAACCACCCACAACCTGTTTTAGCTGGACCCCTCATGATTGATCAAATGGGTCCTGAGTTTAGTAGTTAATAGCAATTTTTAAAGCCAAAGAAACACATGGGACCATTCCCAGTACATTAAAAATAGAATCTGATGCTGCACTTGCCTATAATGTGTTTTTTATCAGGTAAATAACTGCTGTATCTATCGTTAATGTATCTCTTATTACTATACTTGGTAACAAGCTACGAAGCTGGCTTCAGAAAAACAATAGCAAAGGTAACCTGAGTGGCTAGTGTTAACCACTGGTTGACATACCTAGCTAATGTTAAACACAATAAGTTATTTGGCAGTTGTCAGTTGAGAATTTGATTGACAGCTAAGATATGGGCACAGACGAACAGTGTCATTCAGCCAGGTGACTCTTTCTATTGATCTGACAGAGCAGAATACTCTGGCAAGACAAAGGGAGGAGGTGTGTGATGAATGATAAAGAAGATAATAAATAAGGACTGCAGAAAATAACAATTGGTCATAATAAAAAAGATGCAGTGTTTTCAGACCTTAAATACTGCAAATAAAACAAGTTCATATTCATCTTTTTTATTTTGACAGTTAATATTTTCTGCAAATAAAAACAGAGAAACTGATAATCTTGCAGTGGTCTCTTAATTTTTTCCGGAGCTGTATATATTATATATATGTAGGCCATAACCTATGTGCGCACACACACACACACACACATATTCATTGCATATTAGTACACTGATTGTACAACAGATTGTAGATACATATATATATATAGTATTTACAAAAAAGACAACAACAACAAAAACTCTATTGCACTCTATCACTGCCCCTGTGCACTGCCTGTTGGCACCTATGTGCTATCGGACTCAAACTTTTTTTTGGGGCACTTACTCATGTTGTTCTCTCCTGACTAGATCTTGCTTGTGTTGTATTAACTCTCAGATGTACGTCGCTTTGGATAGAAGTGTCTGCTAAATTAAATTGTTGTTGTAACCGAAATTCTATTTGAAACAAAGTGGTGAACTTAGCAGCTTTATGTGATAGTTAAGTTAACTAACTTCCTAGAAATGTTGCCTTTAGCTAATTTGAATAAATGAATTAACCAGAATGTGAAAGAATACTAATGCTAATAGGACTTGTGTATCTTGAATCTAATGGTCAGTTGTTCTTCTGTTTTTGTGGATTTGTCCACAGCATCTCACCCATTTCCTGGCTAACGAGGAGCCTGCTATTCCTGCAGCAGGTACATTCAACTGTCCTTGTTGTTCCTTCAGTGCCAGTCTAAATTATTCAGCCCACTACCACCTCAGAAACCATTTAAATGGAACAATGCACCATGGAGATATGGTCTGAATTTACAGTAGGTATCGTTTTATTAAGATAAAACTCTATTGTCTCCCTTTTCCCCTACCCATTAAGAATGTTTTTTTTTTATGTGCACCATGTGTGATGTGTAATGTGACCTCTATGAGCATTAAAATGTTAAATGTTAATTATTGCAGTTGCCAACTTGCCTGTTGGAGAAGATTTTTGCAGAAGTCGTCCTTAACGATGGAGATGGGGCTTTATTGACTCTCTCCATGGTGTGTCACCACTTCAGAGAAGTGGTGGGAACAGGATACTTTCGGAGAAAAGTTCACTTCATGTGGCTTGACAGTAAGATTTAAAAAAGACAAAATGCATGTTATGCTTATAATATAATATAATATTTTTTCCAAGTTGGATAAATTTGTCAAATTTGTTTTACAGGTGTTTCAAATTGGAGCAACTTCTCTGCAGTGTACCGGGCAGAGTTTTACAAGATGTATTCCCTTGAAACATGCAGAGAGTGCAGCATGATCTTTAAAAGCTGCATTCCGGGTAAGCAAATTGCTCATGGACATGCGATGACTATTTTTGTTTTTACCGTCCACAGATTGCAGTAGAGAAATGTTCCAAAAAAATTTAGTTGTTGCAGATTAGTGACAAAATACTGCAAATACCCCATCAGTCCCATTGTATGGGAATCCATAAGGCAGTAATAATAATCTCATGCAGTAGTAAAATATAAATATGGATATTATTAAACACTTATAACCCTTCAAAACTGACATAAGAAAACATTGCAATTATGAGTAGTGAGATACAAGAGACCTACCAAATAGTACCTTAAGCAATCTATCCCTATGGATAGGACACTAGCCAGTGGACTATTGGACACAAACATTTTGAGAAAATGTTATCTTGAATGTTGAAAATAAAGTGGGGCCTCAAATAAGTACTGTTTTTATTTAATTATTATTATTATTTTTTAATTTACCCACAGGCTATGCAGGAAAAGGAAAACGAGGGAAGCTGCAGGGAATCTATTCGGAGAACTCTCACCCAGGCTTCTGCTCAAAGTTCTGCCAGATGTGTGCAGTGAGTAAATTAGCCATAGATTGGTCTGTCAGTATTTTTTTTATCTCGATACAATGTTTAAAGCTCTCTTATTCTTTGTTTTTATTTTTTAGTACTTTTCTTTTTAATGACTTTGAAGACATAATGACTAAAAACTACATAAAGTTGACACCATTTGAACGCTTTTATCTAACCATTTATTAATTGGGGGTTGCCAACAAGCCATCAGTTATATTTCTAACAAATATTTATCGGTCTTCCATTTTATTCATCCAGATTGAGTACATGCCCTCATGACTAAATAAATAACTTTATTTATCATTGACAAACATTCTACTTTTGTGTCCAAGTTGAGTGAAATGTTATGTTTTTCTTCTAGGAATCACAGATTAGTTGGAGAAGTTGGGTTCGCGTTCTCTACATTTTTGACCTTTTTTATTTGTCAAATAAATTGTTGAAATTAAACAAATTATTCTTGAGTGGTGGTGGTGCTGCCAATGGTGCTGGTGAGAGCATGAGAGGACAGACAATGGGATTCTCCTACCACGTGACAGTGGATGTGGAGGATGTCAACGAGGTTCCAGTCTTTTTTTCCCAGTCATTTTTTTCCTGACCTACTGCTGACTATTGCTTCCAGACTAAGTCTGTTCATTTTTAACAAATCAATAGAGCTACTTTTCCTTTGGTACTTATTTGCATTAGAGTCTCAAAATACACTCCACACAAACAGACACATAGAGTACAGATAAACAGTTGAATGCTACAGTATGATACATCAAGACATAAGTCATGAAACACAGCATAGGTGAATAAATAGGTCAGAAATATATATTTTAAAAAAATGTAAAAAAAAAAAAAAAAAAGATGGTGAAATACTGGATGTCCTCTATAGAAATGTAATTGTAGAGAGAGGGCTTGTCAGGAGGTATACTAGTCAGGCAATGTAGCCTACTAAGTTCTGTTAGTAACAATTAGTGAGTAAGAGTAATTAAAATAGTTGACATAATTGCTAATACAACAAATATAAATGTTAATTGAAATCAGTTATGTTCAGTGAATGTTTATTAGCCTATCTTTAAGATAGCCTTCAGTCAAAAAGTATACAATTGTTGCCATGGTGAAATAATGTGCCCTCACATCAATAATCACCTGTCATCACCAAGAGTTGCTACAGATATGATTCTACATTTGTATTTATTTTTATAGGCTACATGAAAGCATTTACATGTGTTCAAATAAACATTTATGTAGCATATAAAAACAAACAAACCATGAACGCCGAGTTTGCGGTAGGCTACTATGAATGCAGAGTGAACGCCATCTTAGGAAGGTCACTGCCGGCTACCTAGTGCTGTTGTGTATGGAGATAAGTCTTCAGCAAACTTGGCGTGCTCACTCAAAAGTCTCAAAGTGTAATCGGTGCCGGTCCAAAAAATTACAGCAAAGCAGAAAAACCCGACAGCACTCACCTATAAGTAGGCCATAATACTAGGCTTACTAACTCTGCACGCTGAATTCCCATACACAACTAGGCAGCCGGCAGTGACCTCTCCAAGATGGCGGCGACGTTGACGCACAGTAGCCACAGGATTATCTATGCTTGCACCTTGCCTACCCACTCATGGTGCATTCGAGACAACTTGGAAAAACGAGCTCTAACTTGTTGAAATGAATTGAATTGCTGTCCAATTCGATTTACAGTATAGAAAAGATCGGGGTGCATAGGGGACAAACACAACAGCTGCGGAGGACACATACCCCCTGTTCCCCGCGTCCACTACGCCCCTCTTTTGATTGAATGCA